ATACTTGTTTATTATATTTTTATAGAGATAAGATGGAGGAAGAAGAAGATGAAATGGAGGAAGTGTAAGTTATAAATAAAGTAATATCATCCATAGATTTTAAATTAATTTCGGATTATTTGCCATAAATCTTTGATAGTTGAAATTAAAGTAATAAAACACAAGATGTATCTGGTATCATGTTTAACAGTTGGTAAAGAATCTATATAATATTCTTATGAATATGTGAATCTTCATCTCGGATCAACCTGTCTCTTATACACATCTAGATGTGTATAAGAGACAGTAATAATACAGTATATATATAAAAAAATAAATATATAAATATATATATACAAATAAGTATATTAAATATAAATATAAATAAATATATACATATATATAGTTGTAATAATAATAATAATAATAATATTGATGATAATAAATCTTCTTATACTTCCTTTGCCAATAAATAATGCATACAATCACAAATATTTATATACTTAGCATACACCCTAAATTGGCTGGTAATCAATTTTAGGATTTGCTAGTAAAAAGGCTGACAAATCAGCTAAGACTGCATGGTTTTTATAATATTATGTCTCATTGAAAGATGATAACTCATTTTAAGTAGGAAAATCCATGTACTTACCTTTTTTAAAGTGCATTAATATTTTGTATTCATAGGATTATTATCAAGTCCTCCTTCATTTTATTTTTAACAGATTTCTATGTATTAATTAGATGTGTACTTACGGATCTGACAGTTAACTCCTTGATAATTACTAGGACAGTTACACGTGTACTGGTTAATACCATTTACACACACTCCACCATTGAAACATGGGTTGCTTGAACACTCAATTACTATGAAAAGATGTTAAATTTTGTACAGTCTTAATAATAATATTAACAATGATGATAATGTTAATGATAATGTTGATGATAATGTTGTTGATGATGATAATAAGGCTGATGATAATGATGATGATACTATGAATTATAATGTGCATTTGCATATCAATCACATGGCTAACGGCGAAAAAACATTACTTTGGAGAAATGACTGTGCTGATCCTTAATTCAAACCTACAAGAAATCTAGTAAGAAACGGAGCACTTACTCAGTACGTTTCGATCTCTAACAAAGGTCATGTTTAATTTTTGTTAGAGATCAAAGCGTAAGTAAGTACTTCGTTTCTTACTAACTTTTACAAAAAATAATTTGTCAAACAACAAAGCTAGATGAAATTGTTCTGATGATACAAGAAAAAAAAAAACAAAAAAAAAACCAGAAGCTATTTTCAATAGAGCACGAACCCATTCAGATAAATTGGATATTTTTAAATCAGCCTAATCGTTTAATTGCCACTAGTAAAGTTTTAAAGTGTTGCAAGAAAAGAGTAAGAATGACCCCTTAATGACCCTTCAGGGCCGTCGGAACCGCACCGGCCGCACCGGCTTTGGCCGGACCACTTTTTCTTAATATTATTACATATTTTATTTTTTTATTTATTAAAGACCTAACAGTGCGTTATAACAATATTTTAAGAAAACTGTTACGCCAACCGAGATACTGTAGTGCTAATGCACTATTTGTTAATAATAATTTATTATCTTTCCAAGAATTTATGAGAAAATCAATCTTTAGCTTTTTAAAGCGATTTTCTGCTTGTGTGAACCCTTTAGTTCGTTCTGTAAATGGATTCTTTGAAAGTTCTAGGCTCTCAAAAAGATGGAACGAACTTCTTTATGTTAATCCTTAATTTCTAAGGATCATGTGGGGTTTATTTTCCCCTAGTATATATATTATTATTAGTTAAGTTGACGATGTTTAACTATGGATGTAAAGTCTGAAATAAAGAATAATGAATGAATAATGAAAACACAAAAAATATAAAAAAAACAAACAAACAAAAAACAGTCGCCATAAAAATAAAAAATGATATAAAAAATAAATGTCTAAAGATTTAAAATGCGGTACATAAAATTTCAGTTTCACATATTAAATATTACATACAGAGGCCTATTACATTAAAGGTAGAAATATTACAATTAAAAATATCAAATAAGAGAGAATTGAAAAAAAAGCAGAAAAGTCTACACCCTCAAAAACAGTTAGTAATTTTGACAAGGTTTAGAGGTATAAAAATATTTTTTGCACTTCTTGATGGGCGCTTATTCAAACGGGGCGCTTATCAAAACAGAGTGGAAATTGAGGGGGCGCTTATGAAAATAGAGGAAGATCGAGGGGTTATTATGACAACTTATTAAATTCAAGAGGCACATTTTGAATGACATCAGGAAACCGCAAATTACGAATGGTGGTGCTGCGGAAAAGATAATCGTCCAGAGAGCATGGCTTGTCATGACAAGAATGTTGTGAGTACATTATTACATAACAGCAGAATAGCAGATGAAACTAGTGGTGGTGGTTACTTGTTGGCCATCGGCCGATTGAGATTCTGTCTCTTATACACATCTAGATGTGTATAAGAGACAGTGTATGTGCAATAGAAACGAAAATTGCTTTAGGGACGATAGTGCTTTGTCGACTGTTGTGAATGCATTAACAGGTTGTGCTAAGGTCTCACCGGACTGTGGCCCAGGAGCATTTTGTGTGTTCTCTAGCTCTTCTAAATGCCTCGTCATAAGATCGCCATGTGTTGGGATTGTTTTTCATCATGAGTTTTATCTGTTTTGCATAGGTAAACATATCTTTCATCTCCCCTTTATAGAAACTAAGGTAAATAGTAGCAAAGTCATAACAAAAATAATGGTTCACACATGTTCAGATAGCTGGCGCTTTCTGGTCTTTGGTACTATTTGAAGACCACCATTGTATTGTAAGGTGTATGTATCCCTTTGTTCTGAATTGGCAAGTTCCAAAAAAATCAAGATACTTGTGCTCCTTTATCTTTGCCTTAAGTTTTTCTGGGACTAGTACACCAGCATTGATCCCACCACTGTATCTGAGTGGATTTTCTGCTGCATCGCCTTCAGCTATTAGGCATTTTTCGTTTTGACTACGCGGCCAGTCTACTACGAACTAATGGATCGTGACGGCAACGCCAAGACACTGTTCGCGTACTACACCAAGAGCTGTTTTCGTTTTTTTAAGGCGACTACGACGACACAGCACACGTACGTAGGGCCTACGGAGGGGAGTTAGTCGACCATGGTTTTATTACCAGAGAACAATGTTCCCTTGTTTTATATTTGAAAAAGGAAATGTGAAAAAAAACTTTAGTCAAATACTGTATACAAAATAAAAAGTTTCCAGAAAAAGATGTGTATAAGAGACAGGTTTAAATGCGAAAAAGTTCTGGTTTGGCTTGTCTATGCCACATAGGCCTATGGCTTTGCTCTCTGGAAGTATTATTATTTTATAAGACTAAATATAGCAACCCAAATTAGTCTATACCAAATCGAAACTACCGATTTTTCTCGGGGCTTTTTCCCTGCACTCTTAGCGGGGCCTTTATTTTCCATTGATTCCAAATTGGACTCACTTTAAACAAAGTTTCATCTTCATCATCATCATCATCATAATTATATCATATTTCTTCTTGTCATCCGGGTAAACAAAGTTTCCATGGTATGACCCCTGAACCCCTGTAAAAAATAGCCACATTTAAGAACATTGTGCCCCTCCCACTCTTTTACTGTTAGATCCGTACATGGAGGTATCTACATGGTCTGTAGTGTAATCGCTGTAAGGCCTACCAGAAGAAAACACAGGATTTAATTACAGCATAAATAATTTATTATGCTTCAGACTGAATTTGGTAAGTGTAAATTAAATTGTACGAGCAGTAAGTTTGTTGAAACGCGACGTTATTTGTATAGGCATAGGAGGCCTACTGTATTTCCATAGATAATTCATAGCATACTGTATCATGTGTATTCATAGAACATGTTCTAGGCCTATTAATTAATTGCATATTGTTAATATTTCTCAATACCCTGCACATCGTGTAGATATAATTACAGTTATCATTGTTATTCCTTGTACATATTCGTGTTTCCTGAACACTATTTATTCATGGAGGAATAAGCAACTTAATTACATTTTGAACAATATATCATTTTCGCAGTAGATCTACAATTCCCATGATTTAAAATAATCTTACGAATTGTAATTTGGTCAATGCTACCACATTCTGTGTCCAGATATAGCATTTTTAACCTGGATGCTTTTTTTCTGTGCCCACTCTTTAGAATCATGTACAGGGCATAGACCTTTATTATCTCCATTTTTTCTTGAGCCATACCAGTAAAAATAATATGATGCCTTGTAAGGTCATATTCTTTAAAAAAAAAAATCTTCCTATTAGTAGGCCTATTATATACGGGAGAGTACCGGTACCGCATGAACATTACTCACACACCCTCAAGCCTGCTATGGGGATATATTCATGCCACGAAACTTAGAATATGGAATATAGTGTACGCTAGGAGGAAATATTTTAATATAGATAAATTTAGTAAATGTACGATGTACAGTATATATTGTACTACATATTTTCATAACAGTAACTTATTTATATTTAGGTGCCATAATTTTCAAAATTTGCTCACCTCCGTGCCCAAAACATATGGAGCAGAGGTGTATTTCTATTCCCCACTAACATCTTTGTCTGAAAATAGATAGGATGGGGGAGGGGTGGTGACTATACAGGTTTGCCAGCTTGTATTTCCAGGCATCCAGATGTACCATATTTCCAACATAGACTCTATCTTCGTGTTAATTTTATTTCTTTGAGGGGAGGGGCTAGCGGCTCTACAAATTGTCAGCATTTCCGGGCATTGAGAGTTGCAAAAAAAGTTGATGAACCATGATGAAGCTGATAGTGGATGCTCAGAGACCCTTTTACAACAAAATTTGTTTAGTTCTACCCCCCCCCCACCCCCCGCTCTGACTATAATGGCCGGACCACTTGCAAAATGCTTCCGACGGCTATGCCCTTGACTATCCCTAAACACCATGACTCTGCCTTATTTACCAACATATTTGCGAAGGACAAGACTGTGATAGGTTATTTGTGACGGAAGTAGTCTTTAATAAGATTTTGAGATTTTTGACTTTATGAACCAAAAGCCTATTATACGAAAAACACCACTTCCGAGTTTTTCGTCAGATATGCTTTTGTGTCAAAAAAAATCAGTTTTACAACATATATTAACAAAGTTGTTTCCTACAGAGCCTAGCTTTAATTATTATTAGTAATAATAGGAGTTAAACAGTTGGCTGAGCGGTGTTCCTGCTTCTTCTTCTGAAGTTCCCGGTTCAAGCCTGATTGAGGTTTTTTATTTTATTATTTTAAAATTAATGAAAAGGAATGTTTTATTGTTACTTTTTATTACAAAATATACTAATATAATAACAGAATTTACTAGGTGTCACAGGCAGTGGCGGCTCTAGGATATATATTCTGGGGGTGGGGGCTAAGTTGTCCGACAGGGGGTTGAGATCGTAGGCTCGAGCTGGGGGAAGGGGATGAGAGGGGGTTCCCCTCCCAAATGAGATATTTTTTAAGAATAGCAACCTCTGGTTGTCCCAATAAAGGACTCTACCTTATGGCAATGCATATGTGCAAAGGACAAGACTGTGCTATGTTATTTATTTTTTAGCCTAATGACCCCTGTGTGACCTTTAACCCTAAGCGGTGAACACCCCATGTATAGAAGGTATCATACTGTACTGTCCTCTTATACACATCTAGATGTGTATAAGAGACAGATCATGTACAGGGCATAGACCTTTATTATCTCCATTTTTTCTTGAGCCATACCAGTAAAAATAATATGATGCCTTGTAAGGTCATATTCTTTAAAAAAAAAAATCTTCCTATTAGTAGGCCTATT